GATCGGGGCCGGTAAGGACGAGCGCGGGGCCGACGCGGGCCTCTAGGGGTAAGCGCGGGGCCGATTCGGGGCCTCTAAAAGCGAGCGCGGGGCCGACCGAGGCCTCTAGGTGCGAGAGCGCGGGGCCGACGGGGCCTCTAGGGGCGTGAAAGCCGAGGCGCCCTAGGGCGCAGGTAGGTAGGTAGGTAGTGGTGGGCCCTAAAAAATCGGTCCTAGGAAGGACCTGCTCTATACCATGTTGAACAAGAATGAATGAACTAAGAGTGAAATGAGTACAAGTATCAAAACCTAGGAATGTGTACCCCCTATAGGCTAACCCACTGTAGCCTAAACAACTACAACAACATATATAATGTTTGACAGATAGGTACAAGGCAAGGTTAGTGGCAAAAGGTTATTCCCAAATTCCGGGTCTTGACTTCACCGAAACCTTTGTCGCGGTAGCAAAATACACCACGGTACGAGTCCTCCTCGCCATAGCCGCATATCTTGGTCTCCATATCCATCAAATGGATGTCAAGAACACATTTCTCTACGGTGTCTTGGAAGAAGAAGTATACATGGCACAACCCGAAGGTTATGATGACGGTACGGGTCGAGTGTGTCGCTTGGTAAAGTCCCTTTATGGTCTCAAACAGTCCCCACGGGTTTGGTATCATGCTCTTGAGCAGGTACTTTTCAAGCATGGTTTCACAAGGTCCATGAGAGACAACGCTCTGTACTTCATGCATACGAGTGAGGGGGAGTACATTTGGCTCTTAGTATATGTCGATGACCTCCTCTTAGTCTCAGGTTCTCTTGATCTTCTCAACAAGGTGAAAGGTATTCTCACAAGTGCATTCACGATGACCGATCTTGGTGAGCCGAGTCATTATCTTGGTATGAACATTGTGAGAGATCGTAAGTCACGGTCCATCTTCCTATTCCAGCAAAGGTACATCCAAAAGGTCCTCGAGAGGTTTGGTCTTGATGATAGCAAAACATCACCTACCCCACCTCCTTCTAACTTTGTCCCTTTGTCTTCACATCAGCCCTATGAAGAGAGAGAGAGTCAAGCCTTGATATCATAGGTATTAACGAGTTGTGTCTTGAGGAGAGTGAGCATCATGGTGAGAATTCACTTAAGGTATCCCCACAAGACCTAGCTCTCTACCAAAGTCAGGTTGGGTGTCTCATGTATGCAGCCCTATGCACAAGGCCCGACTTAGCATTCACGGTATCTAAGCTAGCTCAACACATGAGTGCCCCTTCACCTATTCATATGCATGCAGCCAAGCGAGCTCTTCGGTATCTCAAAGGTACTTCTAATCATGGTCTTCTCTTCCAAGCCAGCCCATATGCAAGCTCCCTCCAAGGCTTTACCGATGCAGATTGGGCGGGAGAATTGAGCACACGCAAGTCTACCGGCGGCTACATCTTCCTCATGTGTGGTGCCGCTGTTTCTTGGCAATCGCGCAAGCAAAGTTGTGTGGCACTTTCAACAACCGAAGCTGAGTACATGGCAATGACCGAAGGAGCAAGGGAGGCAATCTGGTTACGTGGACTCTTGGAGGACTTGAGGCAGCCGCAAACTCAACCAACTCCGCTCTACGTGGACAACACTTCAGCCATAGCTCTTTCCAAGAACCCGGTTCATCATGGGCGTACAAAACACATCGAGGTGCAATACCACTTCATTTGTGAGCAACTAGAGAAGGGAGTTCTCGTCGTCAACTTTTGCCGTTCATTCGATCAAGCAGCAGATTTCATGACCAAGGTTCTTCCACATGATGCATTCAACATGTGCAAGGCAAGAGCAGGCCTCATGACACTTCATGAAGCAGTGGAGCAATTTGAGGAGAATGAGGAGTGTGAGGGGAAGAGACGTGGGCAGCAGCATGAAGTGTATGCTAAGGAGATGTGAAAGGAGCATTAGCATGGGTGTATGTGTGCTTCGGGTCTGGTGCGAGGGGGAGTGTTGGAGAATCGAGTTTCTGCCGCCCCAGCCCTTTGCACACAAGCAGCAGCTAGGAGGAATGTCGGCGATGAATCAGAGGCTTCGGGAAGTACTTCGAGAGTTCCACCACCAATCAGATTTCAGCAGAAGACTCGATACAGTTCAAAGCTGCCTTCAAGTGGCACTCAAAGTCACTCAAGGTCCATCCAATCTAGATTGTGCCCAAGTTACCAGGGAAGTTACATTGTCTATCAGCCTAGTTTGAGCTTTCAATCTGTCTTGTTTGTGATGCCTAAAGAGTTGTGCTTTAGTGGGCTTGTTAATCTTGAACATAGTGAAGTTTTACCTCATCCAGTCAATTCTAGCAGCCCTGCTAAGACTTTCCAGCCAAGTTTCCAGCCCTCCAGTAGTCACAGCTACTCTGTTTTACAAGTCTCGCGACGATTCGTGTCGCTGACGTCACCCGAACCAGTTGCCGAGTCGACATTCCACTAAGACCTCCGCCCTAAGGACATGGTACACCTAGCTAGGGTTCAGTGAGATCGTGCAAAACAGTAGTCGATCTTACAAAACAGTAGCAGATCTTACAAAACAGTAGGCGATCTTTCAAAACAGTAGGCGATCTTTCAAAACAGTAGGCGATCTTTCAAAACAGTTTCGTAACCACTTCTGCCAGAGAATTTGTCACTTTATCCTAACATACCGTAATACCCCGGATAGAAGCGCACCTGCGCTTATAATAAAACATTGTTTTTTGGGGGGGTGCGCTTATAATTGAGTCAGATTTATAAGCGCATGCGCTTGTATAAAGGGAAAAATGAAAATCAATTTTGAACACACCATTGTGAAGCTCTCAATAAGGCGAATTCAACCGACCATGCACCAAGTGGGATCGTGCATGGTTTTCAGGCAGAAACCGCAGCGGTTCGGTTTACCACCGCACAATGTTGTCTGGAAACATAGAATGTGACAGCCGTGACGATGATGTTGTCGTGCGGCCCAATCAGAGCCGCATGCGCTGCGAGGCATGTGCATTCGGGCAGAACCATCTCGAAGGTTCGGCAAGATTCTCTGCCAGCGCAGCGTAGATGCTGCCACGCAGGCGCCTCTACGGGAGTGGGCGGGGGTTTCCTGCCTGTCATCGACGAGGAACCCGAGCCGTCACACAGCAGGGGTCACCGTCGTTGCCCATTTCTTCACCCTCTTCTCTGATTTTTTCATTCAGTTCCTTGTCAACCCCGCCTGGCAGGCGAAGCCATGGCGGAATTTAGTGGGACGAGCATCCTCTTCAAGAAAAAGCCACGCCGCACATGGCGACTTACCGAAGACGGGTGGTATACCCGTGAGCCACCAGCGCCTCCAGTGCCACCGGATCCCCCTGCACCCCCTGCTCCTCCTGCTCCCCCTGCACCCCCTGCTCCACCCGCTCCTCCCGCACCTCCCGCTCCTCCGAATCCGCCTGCTTTTGCCACGGCAGGTGCTCACCAACGGCCCGTGCTCCAACTGTATTTACCAGCCACGTTCGACGAATGGTTGGCTGAAGCGGACACACCGAAGGCCCGCGATGCACGCATCCAAGCTCCAGCGACTGCACCACGGTGGGGACAACCAGAATCCTGCGCGTGGGATGAGTCGGCTGTGGGCGCCGACGATGATGTGGCTACCAATAAACATGACAGCGGCGCCGGCGAAGCTGGAGGCGACGGTGAAGCTGGTGGCGACGGTGCAGCGGGCGACGAGGAAGACGTGTTCCCCGACCGTGACGAGGACGAGGACGGTGTGGAGTCCTGGTGGCGCGACGCACCACGCGCGAAGATGCCGGTACCGACATATCCGCCCCTTAATAAAAAACGCCCCCACCCGTCTACCGAGAATCGAGATGCCCGCCCCCCCTCCCCCAGGCACAAGCTGAATCAACATAAGCGGCAGTCCTACACCGCCCAGGAGAAGTTGAGGTGGCTCGTGCGGCTCGAGCTTGCGGCTTCGGTGAGCGAAGTGGCGCGGGAGTCAGGCATTCACCGAAAATGTCTGACAGAATGGAAAGCCCAAGCGGATGCGCTCAAGGCTGCACACGGAGCACGGATGCGACTTCACGGGCGCGGGAGGTCGTCTTGGTACCGCCCCATGGAGTTAAAGGTGTACGCGCAACTCCTCGACTGGCGACGCCGCGGAGTTGCGGTTTCGGTCGGCCGGCTGCAAGAGTGGTCCAAAGAAGTGATGAAGGTTCTATACCCGGACGTCAAGTGGAAAGCCAGTCAGCGGTGGACGGAGCGGTTCCGCAGGCGGTGGAACCTCAGCGTGCGCATGAAAACAAAGGTGGCACAGAAAACAAAGGACGGCATGAACATCCTGACCCCGGCAGGTGAGTGACGGCATGTGCTCCCGTCTGCAAATCTTGAGCTTGAATGCATGTTTACTTGTCTCATGTTTTCCCCGCCCCACTCCGTGTGATGCAGGGAACATCAAGAAACCACCTCCGGAGGTGGTGCTCAAGTGGATTTCACGGGCCTGGAAGGCGGTGCCCGCCGACCTCATCAAGAAAGCCTTCCTCACTTGCGGCATCAGCAACGCCCTTGATGGGAGCGAAGACAAACTGGTGCTAGCGCACCGAAGGTGCCAGTTGTCCCATGAGGTGGAGGTGGACGACGACATCCAGGCAGATGGGTTCTGGGGCAACAACTCCACGGAGCCTGAGTCGGACGAGGAGGAAGAAAAGGCAGTAGGGTAGACTAGGCAGGTTGAAAGGTGTAGTGCAGGACAGCAGAGACCACCCTTGTATGTGATAGTCATTCTTGATGGAAAGTTTAGAACATGTAGGCTAGGTAGGTTAAAAAAAATGAAATTCTTTTTTTTTTTTAACTAAACGAGTGCGCTTATAATAAGTCAAGAATTCCAAAGGGGTGCGCTTATAATTGAGGATCGGCCATAAGCGCATTGCTCCAGATACAAGCGCATGCGCTTAACATAGGCCTGCGCTTCTATCCGGGGCCATACGGTATCTAACAGATGTATATATAAATATGATTTGACATTCCTCTCCATGCGCCGCCATTTGTACGGTTATCTACACAGCAGGCGTGTCCAGAGGTTTGGCTGCTCTTGCATTGAAGAAGGCGAAGAGCCTAGCACAGGCGACTTCAAGGTGCTCATAGGGGAATGATGAGAAGCAGATGCGGAAATACCCTGGCTCAGAGGCACGGCATGATTCTCCTGAAGAGTGGGTGGAGTGAGAGAAGAGGGGAAGGGAAGGGAGTGGGGAGGAGGAGGGGATGGGGGATGATGGAGTGGAAAAGGAGGGTAGCAGAGAAATCATCTGGAACAATACACCAATAACCATACACACCAACCTCCAAAACTTTCGCCAAGAATGGGAAACAAAATCACAAACATCACCTAGAGATTCACCTGCACTCATTCCCACTTCTTTCACTAGATAGATGGGAAGAAATGGTGATTTTAGCTGGATCAGAAACCAGCACCGTCTAGGATTTCATCACGACTCTTCCCCATTGTTTTCATTGGAGCAAGAGAGAGAGAGAGAGAGCGACCACAACAAGCCTGCCATGTCAGCCCATCATACGAACATCGACACACCTGAGACCCAGCCAAACAAGAGACACAACAGAACAAGCCAGCAGCAACAGGAGGAGCAACAGGAGCAGCAACAGCAGCAACGGTAGCAGCCACAGTAGCAGCAACGGGAGCAGCAACGGGAGCAGCAACGAGAGTTATAACAGAAGCAGCAGCATAAGAAGGAACGGAAGCAGAAACAGAAGCAGCAACGGAGCAGCAAAAGAAGCAGCAACGGAGCAGCAAGAGAAGCTAAGCTCACCGGGTACCATGACAAGCTTGGCCCCGTCCTTGATGTCGGTCCACAGCTGCTTCTCCGCCTCAAAGGTGGGCGCAGAGAGGAAGCGACGCATGTCCGCAAACACAAACATGGCTGCTCCTGATGGCACGAAGGGGATCGAGAGCTCCTGGTGGTGTGAGGGGGCAGCGGGAGAGGAGGAGGAGGATTGCAGGGGAAAGGGGAATGAGAGGTGGAATGGAAGAGAAGAGACAAACGAAGCAGCCCCTGATGGCACGAAGGGGATGGCGAGCTCCTGGTGGTGTGAGGGGGTGGAAGGGAAAAGAAGGGCGGATTAGGTGCTGCTGTAAGGAATGACGCACGTCCACAAAGACAAACAAAGGCTCTAGGGTAGTGCAGATGAGCCAATGAGCGGAGAGCCCACCTCTAGGGTGCTGCAGATGAGCGGAAGGTCCCGATGATTCCACAAGGAAAGGTTCCCAAAAGCCCCAGAGAGCCCACCTCTAGGGTGCTGCAGATGAGTCGGTGTGAGCGGTGCAGTCGCTTCCTGTTCTCTGCCATAAACGCGTCCACCCACGCGTCATCCTCCAAGAGAGCACTCAGCGAGGCCACTGTGCATCAAGCTAGCCTCAACCAGCCCAAACCGGCCCAGCCAAACGCTGCACTGCGCCCTCAGTTTTCCAGCCCGCTCACACCCTAGCAACTGAATCGGGTTTTGTTGTTGTTGTTTTTTTTTTTTTGGCCCAAAAAACCCACCTCTAGGGTGCTGCAGATGAGTCGGTGTGAGCGGTGCAGTCGCTTCCTGTTCTCCGCCAGAAACGCGTCCACCCACGCGTCATCCTCCAAGAGAGCACTCAGCGCCCACTGCGTGTCCTGAGAGACCATCGAGAAGAGGTTCAGCATGCCTAGCGCCTGGGGGAGTGGGAGGCAAGAAGGAAGGGAGGAGGGGAGGGGAGGGCGAACGGGGGGCGAGGGGAGGGCGAAGGGGGGGGGAAGGGGGGGCGAAGGGGGGGCGAAGGGGGGGATGTAAGGGAGGAGCTAAGCAAAGCCCTCACCCATAAACGCGTCCACCCACGCGTCATCCTCCGAGAGGGCACTTAGCAGCGCCCACTGCGTGTCCTGAGAGACCATCGAGAAGAGGTTCAGCATGCCTAGCGCCTGGGAGAGTGGGAGGGAAGAAGGGGGAAGGGGAGGGAGGAGGGTGCGTGGGGGCGGGACGGACAGGGTGTAGTATTGAGGAAGGGTGGGTTAGTGGAGTGGGGGGTTGGGGGGGAGGTGGAGGGGGTTGTGAGGAAGGGGGGGGGAGAGGGCCAGAAACGCGTCCACCCACTCGCAATCTTCCAGCAGCGCGCTCAGCGCCCACTGCGTGGCACGTGACGAGATAACAGAGAGCTTTTGAGGCGTCTCAAAACCGGTCAGCGCCCACCCACTGCGTGTCCTGAGAGACCCACGAGAAGACGTTCACCGTGCCAGGAGAGGGGAGGGGGAGGGTGTTGTGTTGAGAAAAAACGGTAACAAAGGAGGAGGGAAGGGGGGGGGGGGGAGGAGGTTGTTAGAGGGGGGAGGCTATTGCGTGCCGCGGCTCGTGACGAGCCGGTTTGGCTGGAGCACTTGCTCATGCCGAGTAGAAAAAGGGTTCGAGACCTTGCTCATGCCTCACTCACAGCGCACAGTGCTAGAATAACCAGCAGCGACAGAAAGGAGCACCCCCCGCACTAAGAAGAGGTAGTACCCACAGCACCCACAGCCTCAGTCACAGAAAGCAGTGTTAGAATAACCAGCACGCACAAGAGGCAGGGCAGCAGCACTCACCCTAAGCAGCTTCTGGTTACGGGAAACGAGAATGCCAACCCGGAAGCCATTGAGTGTGAAGTCCTTGCTCATGCCGTATGTCAGATGCACCCTCGCATCCACCTCCTCCCGAGAAGCCTTCCCCTCCGCCACCAGTCGCTCTGCCAGCTCCAACCCGCTCACAAACTCTGTGATGGGAAGAGGTGAGGAGGACAGGGGAGGGGAAGGGAGAGGTGGGAAGGGGTGAGGCGGAGATGGGTGCAGTGGGGTTGGGTAAGGCAGGCTGGGTGGGGGGTAGCGTCCACCTCCTCCCGAGAGGCCTTCCCCTCCGCCACCAGCCGTTCTGCCAGCTCCAACCCGCTCACACACTCTGTCTTGGGGGGGGGGGGGGGGGGGGGGGGTTTGGGGGGGGTGGGGGGGGGGGGGGGGGAGGAGAGGGGAGGGGAGGGGAGGTGAGGGAAAGGAGGGAAGAAGGGTGCTGGCTGAGGGAGGGAGGTATGGATGGATCACCCGGCACACCATGGGCACACCATGGGCACACCATGGGCACACCATGGGCACACCATGGGCACACCATGGGCACACCATGGGCACAGCATGGGCACAGCATGGGCACAGCATGGGCACACCATGGGCACACCATGGGCACACCATGGGCACACCATGGGCACACCATGGGCACACCATGGGCACACCATGGGCACACCATGGGAACACCATGGGCACAGCATGGGCACAGCATGGGCACAGCATGGGCACACCATGGGCACACCATGGGCACACCATGGGCACACCATGGGCACACCATGGGCACACCATGGGCACACCATGGGCACACCATGGGCACACCATGGGCACACCATGGGCACACCATGGGCACACCATGGGCACACCATGGGCACACCATGGGCACACCATGGGCACACCATGGGCACACCATGGGCACACCATGGGCACACCATGGGCACACCATGGGCACACCATGGGCACAGCATGGGCACAGCATGGGCACACCATGGGCACACCATGGGCACACCATGGGCACACCATGGGCACACCATGGGCACACCATGGGCACACCATGGGCACACCATGGGCACACCATGGGCACACCATGGGCACACCATGGGCACACCATGGGCACACCATGGGCACACCATGGGCACACCATGGGCACACCATGGGCACACCATGGGCACACCATGGGCACACCATGGGCACACCATGGGCACACCATGGGCACACCATGGGCACACCATGGGCACACCATGGGCACACCATGGGCACACCATGGGCACACCATGGGCACACCATGGGCACACCATGGGCACACCATGGGCACACCATGGGCACACCATGGGCACACCATGGGCACACCATGGGCACACCATGGGCACACCATGGGCACACCATGGGCACACCATGGGCACACCATGGGCACACCATGGGCACACCATGAGCACACCATGGGCACACCATGAGCACACCATGGGCACACCATGGGCACACCATGAGCACACCATGGGCTCACCATGAGCACACCATGGGCACACCATGGGCACACCATGGGCACACCATGGGCACACCATGGGCACACCATGAGCACACCATGGGCTCACCATGAGCACACCATGGGCACACCATGGGCACACCATGAGCACACCATGGGCACACCATGGGCACACCATGAGCACACCATGGGCACACCATGAGCACACCATGGGCACACCATGAGCACACCATGGGCACACCATGGGCACACCATGAGCACACCATGGGCACACCATGAGCACACCATGGGCACACCATGAGCACACCATGGGCACACCATGGGCACACCATGAGCACACCATGGGCACACCATGGGCACACCATGGGCACACCATGGGCACACCATGAGCACACCATGAGCACACCATGAGCACACCATGGGCACACCATGGGCACACCATGAGCACACCATGAGCACACCATGAGCACACCATGGGCACACCATGAGCACACCATGGGCACACCATGAGCACACCATGAGCACACCATGGGCACACCATGAGCACACCATGGGCACACCATGAGCACACCATGGGCACACCATGAGCACACCATCCCTAAATACACTTACTTGGCATATCATCCCCAAACACCGATGCGGCAAACACCTGTCTGCCCACACGCAATCACATGCGGACCCGTCTGCAGCGCCCACGACACCAGCCAAGACGACCCACCCACCTACCCTTTTTCCCCTGCCCAACTTCGCACTGGCCTCGCCGCTCGCTCACGTCAGTCACACCCTGCCTTCCTCACACATGCACTCGCCCGGTGCGTCATCCCCAAACACGGATGCGGAATTACACATCGTCCGCAACCGCATGCGGACCCGCGTGCCTGCACTGGCTTCACCCCTCGACCGTAAACTAACCCTGACCTGCCTTCCTCACACGTGCACTCACCCGGTGTGTCATCACCGAACACGGAAGCAGCATACACAACGTCTGCAACCACATGCAGACCTGCGTGCAGTGCCCACGCCACCAGCCAAGACGACCCGCCCACCCACCAACGCCCCCCACCCCACCCACATGCACTCACCCGGTGCATCATCCCCAAACACCGTTGCGGCATACACGTCGTCCGAGATCACATGCAGGCCCGCCTGCAGCGCCCACGCCACCAGCGCCGCCACCGCTGCTTCGGGCCACACAGACCCGTGCGGGTTGGTGGGGTTGGTGAGCACGATGGCTCGCACACACACGCCCCTCGCTGCTGCTGCTTCCAGGGCGGACTGGCAGTCCTCGGGGGTGGGCTGGAACTGCCGCTGGTCGGCTGTGGTGACTGAGGCGATCTCCACACGGTTTCTGCGAGTGGGGTGGGATGGGGCAGGGAGGGAGGAAGGACAGAGGGAGGTGGCGAAGCGAGAACCAGGGGGGTTGGGGAAGTGGAAGACCGGGACGGGAGGTGGGGGAGAGGGAACTGGGGCGGTTGGTAGGGCTGGTGGGGTTGGTGAGCACGATGGCTCGCACACACACGCCCCTTGCTGCTGCTGCTTCCAGCGCGGGCTGGCAGTCCTGCGGGGTGGGCTGGAAGAGACGCTGGTCCGCTGTTGCGACTGAGACGATTTCCACACGGTTTCTGCGAGTGAGGGGGGGAGGGGGAAGGGGAGAGGCGGGGGAGGAAGGGATGGATTGGCAGTCCTGCGGGGTGGGCTGGAAGAGACGCTGGTCTGCTGTGGCCACTGGGGATGATTTCCACATGGTTTCTGGGAGTGAGGGGGGGGGAGGGGGAGAGGGGGGGGCGGAGGGGTAATGATCACTACGCGATCTGGTGGGCTGGAACAGATGCTGGTCTGCTTTGGCTACTGCAATGATCTCCACACGGTTTCTGCGAGTGGGAGTCCGGGATGGGTTGAGGGGGGGGGACGGAGGGAGGAAGGAAAAGGAGAGAGGCATGGAAGCGAGAACTAGGGGTGTTGGGGAAGAGGAAAACCGGAAGGGAGGGAGGAGGAGAAGAGGGGACTGCGGGGGTTGGTGGGGTTGGTGAGCACGATGGCTCGCACGCATACGCCCCTCGCTGCTGTTGCTTCCAGCACGAATTGGTATCCCCCTGGGTTGGCTAGGTGACAGTTGTGATACCCATAGGGTGCTATTACTATATGCATGGCTGTGTGAGTCCATGTGTGCACGTTTTCCCCTATGCCACAGTGTGCATGCACGTGAGCATGCGTGTCTGAAGGTAGGGTGCGCATGTGCTCGGCGGCGCATGCCTGCGTCTGCGTGCATGCATGTGCTCTCAAGGCACGCATCTCTCACTATCTCTGACTAGCATCACAGTCAACCCATCCCAACCCAGCAGCACCTGAGCTGGAAGGAAGTCGTTTATAAAACCGGGTTACAAGGGAGCAGGGATGAGCACACCGGTTCAAAAGGCGAACAGACTTCAGCATCATGGTAATGCAACACTTGCACCACCCATCCTATCCCAGCCTAGCAGTACCGTACCGCACCTGAGCTGGAAGTCGCCAATGAAGCCGGGGTAGAAGGGAGCGGGGATGAGAACCCCCTCGCCTGCATCACACAGGGTGTACGCCAGGTGCTCCACTATAGCACTCACTCCCGCCGCTGCACAGATGTTGCCTGGTGATACCTGCATGGTGGTGAGGGGAGAGAGGGGAGCGAGAGTGTCACTCTCGGGGGAACGTGATATTGCTGCCAGGTGCTCGACTGTAGCGCTCACTCCCGCCCGCCGCCACACAGAGGTTGCCTGGTGATACCTGGATGATGGTGGGATCGGAAAGGGTGACACTTCAGGGGGGAATAATATGGCTCAGGCAAGCCTCAGACAGGCACGGAACCCCCAGGGTTTTTTTTTTTTTTTTTTTTTTTTTTTTTTTTTTTTTTTTTTTACCAGGCACTTGTCCCGACCATACATAGATGCTAACCCCACGTGATACTGAGTAAGGGCAGGCTAGGCACACTTGGTGTATCCATGCATGCATGGATGGATGGATGTATGGTGGAGTGACGGCACTGCTCCACCACGGCATGCCGACACGCACACGGTGACTTTTGCGTCGACTCAGAAGTCACCTCAGTAGTCGCTTGCAGCACATGCTGCATTGCATTGCGCCAGGCCAGCCTCGCACCCCCACAGCACCCCTCATTTCACTTCACTGCAAATCCAAAAGTCCGAGGTGTTGTGCAGCAAATATGTCCCGGAGGGTAGATTCTCACCTGTGGTCTTAGAGGTTGTGGGTTCAATTCTCAGTAGCTGCAGATTCCCTTCTCATTATGCTCCACATTACATGTCCACACTCTACCACACTCCACCACAGTGAAGTGTGGTCACAGCTGGCATTGCCACCTGTCTACTCATCCCACACTCACCTTGCTGGCCTCTATGGTGTGCCATATGCTGTCATGTGGGCTGTTGTTCCAGCCTGGCCCACATGTGCAACATGTGGCCTCACTTGCTAGCTTGGCAAGGTTGGCTAGCCTAGCCCTCAGCATTGAGGTGCTGCAGCTAGCCTCAAGAGTTCAGCCACATATATGTGGCTTCCCACTTCACAAGGGATTATCCTTGACAAGGACCTTGCTCTACTCTTTAAGACTTGTACCATTTTCTTGCTAAGGAGATTTCTTCTTCGTATCGTGCCCTAAGTTCACCGATCCACTTTCTTCATGCTATCAGAGCTAGGCTTCTAGCTTTGTGAACGTCGCACACTTGATGGCTCAAGTTGAGACGCCTCTCGGTCGGCACACCCTTCCTATCTTGGAACCGGATGGTTCCAACTTCATTCCATGGAAGAAAAAGATATGCTACATCTTTAATGTCCTTGGGCTGATCTCCTTTCTTGGAGATCCCAAGGTTGCTTCCCGCCCTTCCATTTCCTCCTCCACAACCAGCAGTGGAGATGCTACTGAAGGCAACAATGGTGCAGCCCCTAAAACAGCCCACTCGATTGCGTCGCTGCCGGATGAAGAAAAAGAGGAGCATGCGTACTATCTTCTCATGTCACCCGTCCATCCTCAGCTCTCGCTCACACTTGCTCAAGCCAACACGACGAAGGACATGTGGGGATGCCTCATGGTGCGGTTTGACTGCATGGGTAACCATGCACAAGTGGCTCTCCTCCGAGATCTCATCACTACACGGATGGACCCAACAATGAGTCTTCGCTCCTACTTCGATCGAGTTGGAAATCTTACGCACCAACTCAAATCTGCCGGCTTCGAGTTACCATCTTGGGTGGTGGTAATCTCCATCATTCTCAGTCTGCCGGACTCCTTCAAGACTCTCACAGAAACTATTTGCACCGTGAAAGACATCAAGTCTATGACGGATGAATACCTGCAGTCACGTCTACTCGATGCCGATTGGGAGCGGTCACAATCTGGTACAAGCCGCAACATGGAAGGTGCATACAACCTCCATTCCCAGCCCTCCCACCCTATTCGCTCCGGTTCCCGCCAGTCCCCTACTTGCCGCTACTGCAAGAAAACCGGACACACTATTGACGAATGCTTCAAGTTGAAGAAGAAGAAAGAGATCGAAGAAAGCTCTCGACGGGAAAAATCTGTCATCCAGCCTTCGGTGCATGTGTCAACAAGCTCCTCCGCCGACATCCCTTCGACCTCCACAACACCTACTGCCCTATCAGCCTCTCAGTCCATACCTGATTCCCGGTACGTTGACATTGCTTTCAGCACCAGCCACGGCTCCATCCTCCCCACCTGGACTCCTCTCGTCGCTACTCTCTTCATCTTCACCATCCTCCTCCTCCTCCTCCTCTTCCCTTATGGTGCTCCCTATGCATTGGCATTCACGGCCTCTTCATCAAACCTGGTCCGGACGTCTTCCTAGCTGGTGGACAGTGGCGCATCTTCCCATATCTGCTCCGATCGCTCGCTGTTTTCATCTCTCCAGCAGCCAACTGATGATATTATCGTTCGCTTAGGTGGCGGAGAGACTTACAAGGTCTTGGGAGTCGGCACGGTGGTGGCTACTCTTCGTTCCCAAACCTCGGAAACCACCATCCAGCTAGACAACGTTCTGTTTCTCCCTTCATCGGTTCACAATCCGCTCTCAGTTCGTGCACTTGGAGCTGCCGGCATTGCCGTTTCCTTCCCCATTGCTGGGCGGGTTGAGCTCAAGACTGATGAGGCTCTTATTGGCGAGGGCTTTACCCGCAACAATCTGTTCTATCTTCAGCTGCATCATGGAAAGAGTGCCGCCCCCCCAATCAACCCATCGGCATGTCCAGTCTCCACCACCTCCTCCTCATACCTTTGGCATCGCCGTTTCGGGCATCTTAACATGCGGGACTTGTCAACACTTCATCGGCAGCAGCTGGTCTCCGGTCTTAACCTCTCCTCCTCCTCAATTCCTCAATGCATCTCGTGCTATCGTGGGAAACAAACGCGTCAACCATTTGGTGTGTCCCATTCTCGCACCACCGCACCGCTCCAACTCATTCATTCGGATATTGCTGGACCCTTTTCATATGGAACTACCATTGGAGGCGCTCGCTACCTTCTCACCTTCATCGACAACTATTCCTGCCACATTACCATGTATCTACTACGCCATCGTTCAGAGGCATTGTCGTGCTTCAAAGCGTACGTCACTCGGGTGCACAATATGCATTCTCCAAGGACCATCAAAGCGTTTCCCTCCGATGGTGCCTTGGAGTTCAATTCCGAGGCCTTCACTTCATTCCTTAATGCTCATGGCATCGCTCGACACCCCTCTACGCCATACACACCCGAACAAAATGGAGTTGCTGAACGCGCCAATCGGACTATACTTGAGATGGTCCGTTCCATGCTTCATGACGCACACATGGACAGAGGATGGTGGGGTGAAGCCGCTCTCACTGCTGCCTATATCCGAAATCATGCTATTAGTCGGGGTGGTTCAGCTTCCAAGACTCCCATAAAACTATGGACCGGTGCACGTCCGGACGTATCCCACCTCCGCATCTTCGGTTCACCCGTTTCAGTCCTCGTTCCTCCGCAACGCCGCTCCAAACTCGACGACCGAAGCACGGCCGGCGTCATGGTTGGGTATGGTCATCTTGACGGCACCAAAGCTTATCGCATCTATATCCCAACTCAGCACCGTGTCACACTTTCTCGTGATGTCATCTTCATGGAGCCCTCTTCGCCACCTTCGGATGACCCTCGAGAACCTCCATCGTCATCTCCACCACCCATATCATCCTCTCCGCCTCCTCCTCCACCCCCTTCCCTCTCAGACCCAACCTCCCCTCCCTCTCGTTCACCTCCCATGACCTCTTCCACCACCCTCCTCCCCCCATCTCCAAATCTGCCAGCACCAGCAACCTCTTCTCCTCCTCCTTTGTTTTCCAATCTTCCTCTGCCCTCGACGCCGCAAGACTTCCGCCTTCCATCCCTCTCCTCTCCTTCTTCAGCTCGTCCTCCCCCTTGCACCTCTAGTTCCTCACCACCATCCCTTTCAGCTCCTTCCAATCCTTCACTTTTCTCACTGCTCAAGGTCCTACCCTCTCCTTCTGAACCCATTGACTTCACCCTTCCTCCTCTTTCCAAGCCCTCTGCTAATGCCGCCCTTCATCTTCATTACGAACCTCAAAACATTCATGAGGCCCGCACCGGCCCTGATGCTGCTGAATGGATCAAGGCTGCTGATGCGGAACTCGCTGCCCTGCACGCTAATGACACTTACAGCGTTGTTCCTCGACCACCCAAGTGCAAACCGATTCCATGCAAATGGATTTTTAAGGTCAAGGAGCATGCTGATGGTTCTATCGAACGCCGCAAGGCCCGCCTTGTTGTCAAAGGTTTCAAACAACGCGACGGTGTTGATTTCCATGACACCTTTGCTCCTACCGTTCGCTTCGCCACCCTCCGCCTCTTCCTCACCATTGCTGCCGCTTTCGACCTGGAAGTCCATCAGCTGGACATTTCCAACGCCTTCCTCAACGGAACTCTTGATGAAATTCTCTACATGATGCAGCCTCCCGGTTATGAGCTTCCGGCGGTCCATGGTGTTGAGCAAGTTTGTCTCTTGCACAAACCGTTGTACGGGTTGAAGCAAGCGCCGCGGTGCTGGTACCGCAAACTTCGTGAAGAGCTTGCTACATTTCACCTTTTTGCTGCCCGTGCGGACCCCGGCCTCTTCATTGCTACTCCACAATCTCCTTATTGGCCTACAGCTGCATCTTTCTTCATGCTTCTCGTCTATGTTGACGACCTCATCATTCTTTCCTCCTCTTCTCTTCTCTCCTCATTCAAGCGTGCCCTTTCATCTCGCTTCAAGCTTCGTGACCTCGGTCCTCTTTCCTACTACCTTGGCTTTCACATCACTCGTGATCGGACCTCACGCACTCTCCACCTTCATCAATCCAAATTCATCACCTCCATCTTAGACACCTACTCATTCACACCACTTAACCCTGCTGCCACCCCCATGGACACCAAGTTTCAGCCGCCCGTGACTTCCTCACCACACTCCTCCTCCTTTCCTTACACCTCGTTTGTCGGATCCATCATGTATGCCATGGTGGGTTCCCGTCCCGACCTCGCATATAGCGCTGGAGTTCTTGCTCGTCACCTTCATGATTGGTCTACTCCTCACGTCTCGGCTGCCAAACGCGTTGCTCGCTACTTGAAAGGGACTACCTCACTCGGGCTTCTCCTTGGCGGCATTCCCAACACCCTTGAACTCCATGGGTGGTGTGATGCCTCTTGGGGACCGGAGGGCGAGCTCCGACGCTCCGTTACGTGCTACTTGTTCTTCCTCGGTCCGTCACTCATCTCTTGGCAGTCCAAACGTCAAGCTGTCGTCGCTACCTCCTCATGTGAAGCTGAATACTATTCTCTGGGCGCCGCGGTGCATGAGGCCTTATGGCTTCGATCCCTCCTTACTGCACTTGGACTTCCCCCACCCGGCCCCACCCGCATCTCGTGTGACAACAGCGCCGCCATCATTCTGGCCAAGGACGACGGCGTCTTTCATCCCAAGGCCAAACACATCGACATCAAGCACCATTTCATTCGTGATCATGTCGCCGACCACTCCGTCACCCTTCACTATGTTCTTACTCAAGACAACCTCGCTGACATTGGCACCAAACCTTTGCCCCGTGACCCTTTTCTACGCATCCGTGGTCTTCTCGGTCTCACCCATGTCTCCGCTTGAAGAACCCTACCCCGGGGACATCCTTGAGGGGGGGTGTTGTGCAGCAAATATGTCCCGGAGGGTAGATTCTCACCTGTGGTCTTAGAGGTTGTGGGTTCAATTCTCAGTAGCTGCAGGTTCCCTTTTCATTATGCTCCACATTACATGTCCACACTCTACCACACTCCACCACAGTGAAGTGTGGTCACAGCTGGCATTGCCACCTGTCTACTCATCCCACACTCACCTTGCTGGCCTTTATGGTGTGCCATATGCTGTCATGTGGGCTGTTGTTCCAGCCTGGCCCACATGTGCAACATGTGGCCTCACTTGCTAGCTTGGCAAGGTTGGCTAGCCTAGCCCTCAGCATTGAGGTGCTGCAGCTAGCCTCAAGAGTTCAGCCACATATATGTGGCTTCCCACTTCACTAGGGATTATCCTTAACAAGGACCTTGCTTTAGTCTTTAAGACTTGTACCATTTTCTTGCTAAGGAGATTTCTTCTTCGTATCGTGCCCTAAGTTCACCGATCCACTTTCTTCACGAGGCAGCAAGGCAGCAGCAGTTGTAGCGCGCCTCTAGAGTCGACTCAAAACATCACTGCAACTCACCAGCCCCGGGCAGAGAGGAAGCAGCAGTCGCTGCACGGTGTGCGCTACAGCCGTCTTGCAATCAGGTGAGCATGCAGGTGGTGCACAGGCTGCATTGCATCGCACTGCACTGCATTGCACATCACTGCAACTCACCAGCCCCGGGCAGCGTGGCAGCAGCAGGCGCTGCACGGTGTGCGCTACAGCCGCCTTGAACCGCGGCATGCCCGACACCATGTTGTAGCGCGCCACCTCCGGCTCTATCGGCTCTCGCTTCGCCAGCTTCTCCTGGTGGGGGGAGGTGGCGGGCGGCGGAGGAAAAGGGGAGGGAAGGGCGGAACGAGGTGAGGAGAGAGGGAGGTGGACGATGGCACGCCTGTCACCTGGTTGTTGTAGCGCGCTACCTCCGGCTCTATCGGCTCTCGCTTCGCCAGCTTCTCCTAATAAGGGGAAAGGGGGGCGGGCGGAGGGGAGTGGAGGAGGGAGGGGTGGGGGAAGGTTAGGCGGGGTGGAATATGGAATTCGAAACACAAAACTGCAGATTTGCAGGCTACCTCAATTCCAGACCCTTGTTACAATCACCCCCGATAATAGCCACCTCCCAACAACAGTCACACGCACCTGCAGCCAATCGAACATGAGCATGTTCTCCGCTATAGACAATGTAATAAACCCGTTAGGGTTACTCGTCGATGAGTACATATCCTTAGCGGTTTCCATAGACGCCGAAAAATAGTACAACCCGGGAATAGGCTCCAAAGCGCGCTCGCCGCGACTCGAGAGGTCACCTATTTCCCTCTTGCTATTGACTCGGATCGCCTCCATGGCAGCGTCATTTGCTGAATCTGACAATAAGGCGTTGTCCGAAGCAAGGGGATTAGAGACGTCCTTAGAAGCGGAAGCTACGGGGATGGTCGAGAGGCCGGGACACGTGTCGTCGCTAGATTTGTGGGAGTTGAAACTGCTCGATGCCGCTCCTTTGCCGTTCGTTTTAACACCACGCGAGTCACGTCCGAGAGCGCTTCGAATCCATTTAAACACCGGCCCAGCAGCCACTACCGCGGATGAGCCAATTGCGATTCCTATTAGGCGATCGCCCATAATGCTTCGTTACGGCGTTACAGCGTTACAAAGATACCGAGGTAACAACGGTAACGGCCTTGCTCACAGGCAGCAAAAGCGAATCGTGGAGCAGAAACAAGCTGCGGTCTGAGGGGATCCCCAAGAAAACCAGAAACCACGGAAGTTGACGACGAAGAACTACTTTGGCCTCGTGGAAGCAGCTCGACCAGCCTCCCTCGAGATTCCAGCAAATGACTCATCACTAGTCAGCTGGGTTGCTTTTAGGCCCCGACCGAAACGGCAGCAATCAGCTTCAAGCTCGCTGAACATGGATTCGCTTAATACAGGGTAACCCTGTTCCGACCAGCTGTCGCTACCTAGAGAGTCTAATACAGGGTAACCCTGTTCTGTTGCCGTGTGTTATGAGTTGTGCAGAATAACGAATGAGTGGCTAGCCTAGTTAGGAATGCAAGGTTAGGTGCAGGTTAGGCGAGCGGAAAACCGAAGGCGACGCGGGGCAGCCTCGCAATCGTGGATGTAGGCCGAAGAGTGTTCGAAAACCGTTTCGAGAGTGGTGCTAGAAAATAGCGCAGAACTGGTTTACATACCCGAAATCGGCGCTTTCGTCGTCGCCCCCGCGGTTTTAAAAGCTAGGTTTTATCGGTCAAGAGACTTCACGTGTAAATAGGCTCTGATTACCAAGTGTGAGGATCTAGGATCGAGCTCACGTAAGAGATTTTGAAATGAATTATTCACCTGGGTACAACATGGGGCTATATATGGTCTCGACACAAGCCGGGTAACCCAGGTGTTACGCAAATGTCCTGAGGGTCACGAAGCGTCCCGAACAGAACCTTCCCGAACTCGGTAAAAAGCAATTCGGTGGAAACTGAACAGGCTTGAGTTCGGTACACGTAGCCTGGTTCAGTGCTATAACTATAATAACATATAGGAATGCACCTAACCTAGGAAATCAAGCATATCTATGCATGATAAATAAAACCCAAGCTAGTAATAGCATCATAAAGTTCAGGCAAGCTAGCAAAGCCAGCATAAGCCGTCATATTCTCACAGGCATACCCTCAGCGTCAAAGCGTAGGACATTAGGGGTCGCCATAGCGGCAGCGTAGAGGTGGATACTGCTGCTATCGAAACCCTAAATGCCTAGAGGGTCCGGGCAGGGCGCGACAGGCTGAGCGGAAGGCGCGACACGACGGGACGGGTAGGACGAGACCCGACGGCACAGCATGGCGCGACGCGACGGGCTGGGGGCGACTTGACGGGAGGGGGGGGACGATACGCGACGGGCAGGGGACAGGACGACGAGCAAGGGACGAAACGCGACGCGCAGGAGACAGGACAGGCAGCGCGACGCGACGGCCAGCGGATGCGACGCGCAGGGGACGGGACGGGCAGACGCGATGGCCAGCGGAAGCGAGGGGCAAGGGATGGGACGGGCAGCGCGACGCGACGGGCAGGGGATGCGACGTGCAGGGGATAGGACAGGCAGGGCGACGCGACGGCCAGCGGACGCGACGGGCAGGGGACGGGACGGGCAGAGGATGGGACGGGCAGGGGACGAGACGGGGACAGGACAAGCAGCGCGATGCGACGAGCAGGGGACGCTACGGGCAAGGGACGGGACGGGCAGAGGACGGGACGGGCAGGGAGGCGCGTCGAATAGGTGACGGGACGGGCAGGTGAGGGTGCGACGCGACGGGCAGGGGACGCGACGCGACGGTTAGGGGACAGGCGCGACTGGCACTACATGCGCTACGTGCGCTTCGTGACGGAATGGGCAAGTGCTAAGGGCGCGACAGGATGGAACGAACGGCCACAACGGGCACTACGGGACGAAATAGGCGCAGCGGGAATGGTAGACTACGTGCAACGGGCGCGAGAGGCTCTAACTGGATCCCATAGGATTCTAACCTTGGTGATGCAATGTCAACAATGAAAGTGTTGGTTTTGACTTATGATGGTTGGGGTACATAAACCTAACCCTAACAGTTGTACCCCTTACAACACACATTACTAAGACTACAACATTTGACATCCTGTTGAGATAGTAAGAGTAGGGCCTAGGCTTAGTAGCCTAGGCCAAAGGGAGTCGAGAGAGTTTAGGCAAAGAGTGGGGAGTTCACTATTGAGCGAGGTACAAATAGCAAACAAAGCATGCAAAGAAGGTGCACCACCAACAAGTTTATAATAACTACACTAACTACAGCTACAGGCAGTTACAGATATATTCTAACACTCCCCCATAACTGCCTGCAGCAGAAGCTAATGCAGAGACACCCCCTGAAGGGGTACACCAAGCGCAGCAGAAGGAGAGGGCAAGTGAGGAGGAGGGACTACATGAGGAGAAGCTGCTGGCTCCAAGGCAGTTGCTTCCTTGAACCTTCCTCAGTCCTCCAACTCCCCCTTCCACACTCCTCGACAACCCTAGCACCTCTCCCCCAGCTCCCCCACACCCTCACACCCACCCCCCCCCCCCCCCGCGGCAGCTGCAGCAGTGGGAGAGAAAGGAGGAGGAGGGGAAGGGGATCACACACACCCATCACCCCCATACCCGCCACCCCCATAGCCTCCGTTCCACGGCTGCACGCGCAGCAGGGAGACGAAGAAGGGGGAGGGGGAAGAGCAGCGGTAGCATAGGCACGGGCAGAGCAGCCGCGCGTGCAGGGCAACAGTGCGGATAAGGGCAGGGCAGCCGCGCATGCAGGGCAACAGCGCGGAGCAGAGCAGGGGCAGCAACAGGCGGCAACGGGCAGCACAGGCACGGGCAGCAACGGGCGGCGACGGGCAGCACACGCACGGGCAGCAACGGGCGGCAACGGGCAGCACAGGCACGGGCAGCAATGGGCGGCAACGGGCAGCACAGGCACGGGCAACAACGGGCAGCACAGGCACGGGCAGCAACGGGTGGCAACGGGCAGCACTGGCACGTGCAGCAACAGGCGGCAACGGGCAGCACAGGCACGGGCAACAACGGGCGGCTCGGCAGTAGCTCGGCGGCGCCGGCGGCTCGGTGGTGACGGCGGGGCCGGGTGGGGACGGCGGCGGGGCCGGTAGAGGCGGGGCCGGGGCCGAGAAGGGTAGCACCGGGGCCGCAGGGTAGGCGACGGGGCCGCAGGGTAGGCGCCAGGGCCGCAGGGTAGGCGCCGGGGCCGCAGGGTAGGCGACGGGGCCAGCAGAGGCAACGCCGAGGCCGGGAAGGGCGGCGCCGGGGCCGGAAAGGGCGGTGCCGGGGCCGCAGGGGTAGGCGACGGGGCCGCTAGGGCGGCTAGGAGGGGGGGGGGTCGCGAGGGCGGCTTGAAAAGGCCGCGAGGGTGGCACGAAAGGGCCGCTAGGGCGGCGCGAACGGGCCGCGAGGGCGGCGCGACGCGACGGAGCCGCGAGGGCGGTGCGACGGGGCCGCGAGGGCGGCGCGACGCGGCCGCTAGGGCGGCGCGACGTGACGGGGCCGTGAGGGCGACGCGACGGGGCCGCAAGCGCGACGCGACGGGGCCGCTAAGGCGGCGCGACAGGGTCGAAAGAGAGGAGCGCGACTCGGGCAGAGTAGATCGCGCTCCGGGCAGGAAAAAAAGGTGGTGGGCCCTAGGAACAGTTCCCACAGGGGAACCTGCTCTGATACCATGTTGAGATAGTAAGAGTAGGGCCTAGGCTTAGTAGCCTAGGCCAAAGGGAGTCGAGAGAGTTTAGGCAAAGAGTGGGGAGTTCATTATTGAGCGAGGTACAAATAGCAAACAAAGCATGCAAAGAAGGTGCACCACCAACAAGTTTATAATAACTACACTAACTACAGCTACAAGCAGTTACAGATATATTCTAACACATCCACCCACCATTATTTGATGGGCAACATAATAGTGCCTAATTGAACAGGGTGCAACCAAGCAAACGGATATTGCACTAAGGGGTCAACGAATAGTAATTATGTTAGAGAAAGCATGAGAAGGAAAACGCTTTTTCCTACTTCGGTTCACACTACATATCGCGTATACGATTGTCCCCACCACTTAACACCCAACGGTAGTTTCGTTACCACTCGCCTTGACTGTTCCCTATTAGAATAAGGGCATTAGATAGGATGGGTCTGAGTTGGTATTAGAGGTCTTTTAACAGTAGTGGGAGCTTTGATGCATAGTGAATGTTGTCAGAGGTCCACTGGTGATCCCCGATTGATCCTAGGGAAGGGTTACAGGCACGTTGGCCTTGGGGGTTATGGGCGCACTGACCCGCTACTTAACAAGCCCTTTTATCCCAATGGTCTAATGGTTGGGATTCTGACATGATATCAGAGCGAAGGTCTCGAGTTCGAATCCCAGTGTGTGCATCTCGGGCATCCTAGTGCGGGGGGGTGTCAGAGGTCCACTGGTGATCCCCGATTGATCCTAGGGAAGGTTGCAGGCACGTTGGCCTGGGGGGTTATGGGCGCACTGACTCGCTACTTAACAAGCCCTTTTATCCCAATGGTCTAGTGGTTGGGATTCTGACAAATGTAAATTACACGATCGATCAAAATGTCAAAAGACTAAGCGAGAATGATGCATAGAGAATAGAACTGGGTATACGAGTGCTAATCCTAATTGGGTTGTACCCCTTATGGGCTACCCCACTACAGCCTACACAACATAGGCATCATTATAGTTTAACACACCCCCATATGCAAAGTGGGGGAGAACAAGTGGTTACAAGACCAGTCAAGAAAAGCAAAGCAAGCTCAGGGTGGATCACAAAGTCACCACGCACAAGCAAAT